TAGCGTGTTATGTTGGGAGAGTGGGGTTGAATGAGTTTGTTCGGAGTTTGATGGTGTGGAGGGATTGTAGGGAGGAAGGTGGTTATTATGGAGATGTAGTAGTAGATATATGTAGTGGAGTAGTGTTTTGATTAGGAGATGAAGAGAGAGTGGGATGAAGGTGATAATTATGTGTAAGAGAGAGAGGGGAGAGAGTGAAGGAGATGAGGAGGGGGGAGAGTGAAGGTAGTATGTGATGAGAGTATGGGTAGTAGGTGAATGGAGAGATGAGGAGGTGTGTTGAGTATGTGTGTTTTGATTTTATGTGTTTTTATTTGAAGAATTTGTATGATGGTGGTAGTTTGTGGTTTATCAGGGAGTAGAAGTGTAGAAGGGATATTGGTGGTTTGATAAGGATGAGATCGATAGAGTTATAGGGGAAGATGGTTATGTTATATGTGGTTTTTTTTGTAGTTTTTTTTTTGTTGATTTTTAGTTGATTAGATTTGATGTAGGATGAGAGTGTTTGTGGTATTAAGTATATGAGAGTAATTGTGTTTTGAGGTTGGATTATTGAGGTTGATATGTGTTAGAATGCATTGTAGAGTATGATGTTAGGGTGTAGTTTATGTGTTGAAGGAGTTTTTTAGTATATATGATAAGGAGTATGTTATTTTAAGATGTTTGTGGTATTTAGATGTGGTTGTTGTTGTTTGGATAGGAGATGTTTTATTGTGGAGTGGGGAGGTATGGCGGGATGTAGATTTGGCAGTTTTGTATGGCTTATATGATTTGATGGGGATGGTAGTTGATGATGGAGTGGCAATGTATAGATGGACGAGATGAGGGGATTTGTTTGTGTTGTGTATTGATGGGTAGGGGGGGAGGGGAGGAGAGGAGAGAGAGGAGAGAGAGAGAGAGGAGGGAGGGATAGGTAGAGAGGATGAGGGTGAGAGGGAGAGGAGGGTGGGGATGGGGAGAGAGGGGTGGGAGGGAAGAGAGAGAGGGGAGGGTGAATAGGGAGAGCAGGAGAGCTGATGGATGTCGGGAGAGGGGAGGGGTAGGGGTGGGAGATGATGGGTGTGGGGAGAGGAGATGGGGAGAGAAAGAGGAGATGAGGAGAAGGGTGGAGGAGTGGGGGTGGGTGGAGTAGGGGTTTGGGAGAGAGGAGAGAGGAGGGGAGGATACTTGGAGAGAGAGAGAGGGAGAGTCCAAGAGAAAAGTGCAGGAGGGTAGAGAGGACAGACAGAATAAATCGAACCAAAAAAAGTGAAAGTGAGTGGAGAAGAATAGAAGAGGCGAAGAGAAAGCGACGGAGGGAGGGAAGTGGGAGAGCAAAGCAGCGGGGTGGGTGGGGTTGTATATTTGAGGGGGGTAATGGAGGAAGTCGATCGGAAAGGGTGGGGGTGGGGAGGGTAGAGGAGATGGGGTGAGAGGCGTGCCTTGTGTATGTTGGAGTGAGTGTGGGAGGATTAGGAAGATGCCCAAGCGTTAAGGTCGTCAGGTGATGCCTGTTTTGGAAGCAATAGAGAGGGAATGAGGTATAGCGGTACAGAGGGTTGGAGGAGGCAAGGAGAAGTAGTAGAACGGGAGAAGATGTTTAATCGTTTGTTGGGGGGTGCGAGTGTGTTTGTTTATTGTTTGGTTAGTATGATGTGTTTAGGAATGAGTGGAGAGGGAGGGATGATTGTTTGGTGATGAGGAAGTGAGAGTAGATGGAGAGAAGGAATGTGATAGTATGGGATGGTGTTAGTATGAATTTTGTGTGGAATTGGGAGTAAGGTGTGTAACGACGTAGTAGGGTGGGTTGATGAGGGGAAGGTAGAGTAGAAGAGAAATATATGTATTGTAGGAGGGGGTAGTGGTTTAGAGATATGGGAAAGGGAGAGGAAAGCCGAGAGGGTTTGTATGTTAGTGTATTGTGAGTAATGCAGGGTTGTGTGGGGTTATGTTTGTTTTGGTTGTAGGGTGTAAGGAATGATATGATAAGAGGGAGTGGATAGAGTTAAGTTTGTGGAAAGGGACAAGAGGGAAGGGAGAGGGTGAGAGGAAGGAGAGTAGAAGAGAAGAAATGTAAGAGGGAAGTGGTTAGAGAATGTAGGAAAGGGAGAGAGATGGGGAGAGGGTGAGAGGAAGGAAGAGTAGAAGCAGAAGAGTGACAATGGGCAGTGGTTTAGAGATATGTAGGGATATGGTGAGAGGTTAAATGGCGTAGAGGGTGAATGAGGAAGTGATGATGTAGAAGAGATAGAATGTTAAGAGGGGAGTCGGTTTAGAGAATGAGGATATAGGGATGAGGATAGCGAGAGTTGGTTGAGTACGTGATATATGTTGTGAGAGTTAGGTAAGGAGAAGGAATTGAAAGAGGGAGTGGTATAGAGAATGAGGAAAGGGAGAGGGACAGGGGAGAGGGTGAGGAGGAAGGAGAGTAGAAGGAGAAGAATGTAAGAAGGGAGTGGGTTAGAGAATGAAGGTAAACGGGGGGAAGGCGGGATTTAGGGGATTGAGAAAGAGAGTAGAG